ATAACTCCTTTCGGACTCTATGAATTTTTGCGAATGCCTTTCGGTCTAAGGAATGCTGCTCAAACATTCCAAAGATTCATAGACGACGTTTTTCGAGGTCTCAACTTCGTACACGCGTATGTTGACGACTGTCTAATCGCAAGTCCGGACAGAGAAACACATCTCAAGCATCTGGATCTTGTTTTCGAACGACTACAAAAACATGGCATAACTGTAAACGTTCAGAAATGCCAATTCGGAACCGACTCGTTAGACTTCCTAGGACACACTATCGATGCTCAAGGCATTCGACCTCTTAGGACCAAAGTGGCGGCCATTCTGGATTACCCAGAACCGACCACCGTCAAGCAATTACGCACGTTTAACGGCCTGGTAAGTTTCTATAGACGTTTCATACCGAAATGCGCATTACTTATGAAACCTCTGACCGACCAACTTCGTGGAAATGCGAAATCCATTATTTTGGACGACACGGCACGAAAAGCATTCTCCACAGTTAAGGAACTGATTGCTAAAGCAACGATGCTCGCACATCAGGACACCCGAGCACCCATTAGCATCGCAGTAGACGCATCCGACTCGGCAATCGGAGGAGTCTTACAACAATGGGTTAACAACTCCTGGCAACCCTTGGCATTTTTCTCAAGAAGGTTGCTAGACACCGAATCGAGGTACAGCACATTCGGTAGGGAACTCCTAGCTATGTATTGTGCTGTACGGCATTTCCAACACTACATCGAAGGCCGTGAATTCACTCTTTTCACGGACCATAAACCGCTCACTTTCTCGTTAAGCTCTCTTTCTGACAAGTACTCTCCACGTGAGTCTCGACAACTGGACTACATTTCGCAGTTTACTTCAGATATCCAACACATCTCTGGAGCAAACAATGTAGTTGCAGACGCTTTATCTCGCATAACTTCCTTGAACAGTTTCCAAGGAATCGACCTTCTTAAACTCGCCCAGCTTCAAAAAGAAGACACTGATCTTCAGCACGAGTTATCGTCCACAACACTTAAACTACGCATCAGACAGATGGGAACAGGTAAGGAAACCTTACTTTGTGACACATCTACAGGTAGGGATCGCCCAATCGTGCCGAAACATTATCGACGCAATGTCTTCAACACATTGCACAAACTTTCGCATCCAGGTGTTCGTGCAACCATCAAGCTTATAGCAGAAAGGTTTTGCTGGCCTGGAATGAATAAAGACGTGAGGGAGTGGGCACGCTCCTGTGTAAGCTGCCAAAAATCTAAGGTTATCAGACACAATAAATGTCCCTTAGGCTCGTTTAAAACTCCCGATGCTCGTTTCGACCATGTTCATCTGGATTTGGTAGGACCTTTACCAGATTCAAATGGATACTCTTATCTCTTAACCTGCGTAGACCGTTTCACTCGATGGCCAGAAGCAGTACCTATCAAGGACATCTTTGCTGAAACAGCGGACCACGCCTTCGTCGAACGACGGGTAGCAAACTTCGGCTGCCCTTCAACCATTACTACAGACCGCGGACGTCAGTTTGAATCCGATCTTTTCCGTCGTCTGACCACGTTTTTAGGAATCACTCGCTTCCGAACGACCGCCTACCATCCACAAGCAAACGGGTTGGTAGAACGTTTTCACCGACAACTGAAAGCTTCGCTATCAGCTACAAACGTTTCACAGTGGACCGACGCTCTTCCACTCGTCTTACTAGGTATCCGCAATGCAGTGAAAGCTGACATTGGATACACTGCGTCTCAACTCGTTTATGGTACGACACTTCGACTTCCAGGAGAATTCGTGGATCCTTCATCCTCTTCAATGAACATGGATCTAACCTCCTACACGAACAGGCTTACAAACGCAATGCGTTCAGTTAAACCTGCTTCCACTCGACCTCAATCAACTGATGTTTTCGTTCAACCTGACTTACGATATAGTACACACGTTTTCGTTCGTCGAGACTCGCATCGACGACCATTCGAATCAGCATACGAAGGACCCTTCAAAGTTCTTCAACGTGAATCTAAGTACTATATAGTCGATAAGAACGGAACCAACGATAACATCAGCATCGATCGCTTAAAAGCAGCGTATTTAGAAGGAAATCCTATCTACGTGGATTTTCCTTCGGTACAATCGAACGACACGACTCCGACACTTATAATACCTCATCCGACAACCAACACACACGATGATACTTTGACAGTATCCGAAAATAAACTTAAAACGACGCGTTCTGGAAGAAGGGTGAGATTTCCAGAACATTTAAACGACTATTGCACGTAAGGCACTTCTCGACATTTTATATTATTTAAAAAAAAACAATTTTAATATGCTTATATATTTTTATTTCTATTTAAAAAAACAAAACAAAACAAAAAAACAATTCTTTTAACGCTATTACGTGTTCATGAGTTTGTTTTCCATTTTTTTTCCGCCGACATTGTGCTTTTACGCACATACGAGTGTATTTCGACATGCACTTACATTTTATTTTTTCTTTTCCAGGACGGCTGGAAAAGAACGATGACGTTTATGAGGATCCGAAATTTTCCATGTACATTTTCTTTTTTTACTATGTTGTACCTCCGTCCCATATAGTAAGGAAAGACGACCAGACGCTGCTAAATTTAGTAAGCTATCAGAAGAGTGTTTACCAACGACAAACTCGTTGGGTTTAAACTTCTGGCTGGCCACGTCTTAGGGTCGTCACTGCCCCACTAGGGGGGGGAGTGATCTGTAGCGGTAAATAAATCCCCAAAATAAATAGCTCTAAGTTTTCGACATTGGATGCTGACCATATGTTTTAGTGGACTCACCTAGCTGAAGGCGCTCGGTCAGTCATCCGCACCAGATCACGTGTGGTAACGCCGTGCTCAACATCAACCGCAATCGCTAGCCAGATTAGATCAGAGAATTCCGATATATTGGTCATCGCCAAATATACTCTTCCGATATCCTCGACTCTGTCTTTTGATTTCTCTGGGCGGGAACGAAATATATTAGAAGGTGTTACTGGTAGAAGCGTTGTCAAACACTGAATACCTGTGACATCAACACGGTTTTACTTCTACCGGTTGTGGTTTTTATATTAAGGCTGCATGTGACAATGTTATGATCACTACCTGGGAACTGTTTTCCAATATACAAAGTATTGGGGATGAGGACACAGGTAAAGACTGAGTCCAAGATGTTTTGATGTCTAGTAGGGCTATTGACATACTGAGTCCACTGTCCAAGCTCTAGACATTCAATAAATGATTCATAACGTCTCGGCGCTTTGACTGGGAGCCAAGAAATTTCGGGCACGTTGAAGTCACCAGAAATAAGCTTGCCTGTGAATGGAAGGGATGATGCTAGTGTGAATACCTCCGATAATACTGCTATTTCATCTATTGATGCGTTAGGTTGACGATAAACACAGTCGAGCAGTAAGGTGACGGAATTCGACGGCTTTAATACAATCCACACCGAATCCTTCAGTTTGTTTAGTTCAGGCATATCACATAGTAGTGGGTTTAGGCTAGAGTGAGCGCAAATAAGGCATCCTCCGCCTCGTTCATTCAACCTATCACTTCTATATAGGAAATAGCTATCAAGAGATATACTGCGGTTGGAAATATTACTGTTTGTCCATGCTTCAGATATCATTATAAGTGATGGTTGATATATGGATACAAACAGGGCTAGATCCGTCTTTTTATTGCAGATCGATCGAGCGTTGATAATACATCTATTAAGCAAGTGGCCTACTAAGTTAAAATGGGTGAGGGTATCTCGGATAAAGTCGTCGTAACCCTCGCGGATGTGAGATGAGTTTGAAGTGAGAGATTGAATGTTCTTCATTAGCTCGGTATTTTGATAGCTAGACTTAGTGGGTGACATATCAGATGAGCTAGTGGAGTTGATTGGGGAGTTTACCCAAGAGGAAAGGGTGGGAGTACTCCCTGATGGAAACTGTACGGAGGAAACAAATTTATGGTTTGCATGTGATTTGAAATAACCTGGGCTATATGCTTCAACAGAGGTGTCACTAGGGGCCTTATTCCAAAAAAATCTTGTACAGGCCTACTGTGAAGTGTATGATTATTTACAAAAGTCTTGATGGTTAGACTCGTAGCCCCTGTTATGGCTATTTACGTTAGCGTGGGAGGGGTCTGCTATGCGTAAGTGGGAGGAGTTGCGACTGTTATTATACATGGGAGCCGTTTTTATGTGATGGGTTGGTACTAAAGAGTGTGAAAAGTTTTCTTTCTGAGAATAATTACAGTTGTGATCCTGGGGAATGTAGGTAGGGTGTGGAGTGAGAAACCTATTATTACCATTCTTATTAATGGTTTTAGGCTTCAGGGGGTGACTTGGGTGGCCAGTTCTCTGACAGTTTCCGTTAGTCTGCGTGTAAGACGGCTTGGTACGCTGAAGCCCACCACCCATTTTGCAACAGAGGTGTTGAAGGCAAGTTATACGATAGCAGCGGGAGAACCTGTTCACTGTTCTTGAGATACCTATAGAGCAGTTGGGTTCAATCTTACGTGTTTCCCTATTCGGTATCATGGATTTTGTCTTCCCACCCTTTATTTTCAGAGCTGGAGTCTTTCGTTGTCTCTGTGAGATGAACTTAGGTTCATTCAAGTCTACTTGTGGAGTATCTTTAGGAGGACAAATTTTCAAGTGTATAGGTTTAGTTGGATGTGTGTTGTCATATGACTCACATTTTAGTACATTACTGAGCGAACAGCTGGGATTAGTCATGTCGTTATGGTTTTTGGTGTCAGTTGGGGTCCATATCTTATCCAAAGGTTTCTGATCTGCAGACTCATTGTGGTGTTTGAATTAACTAATGATTCTTTTGTACTTGTTGAATGTTTGATTTCGAATTCTAAATACAGTACATTCGTTGTGCCTGTGTCTTCTTAATTCAATTGCGTTAATCCTGGAATTCCTAATTCATACGAGAATTCGAATACTATATTGGCGTCGTGATGGAACCTGCAATAGAAAAGTTGGATATTCATTCAACTCCTGAAGCTATTGAGGATTATTTGGAAAGGTTCGAAATTTGGAGTATGACCAAGAAAGATGTTAAAGGTGAGAAAATTGTGGCACATTTTCTCACATTCATTGGGAGAGAAGCGTACAGCTTATTAAAAACTTTGGCATATCCAGAAAAACCTATCTCACTCCCTTATGCAACTCTTAAAGAGCTATTGTTAAGTCATGTAAAATGCACCAGTTTTGAATGCCGTGAAAGGGCGACGTTTCATAAGATGGTTCGTCAAAATGACCAAAAGGTTCGGGAATTCATCCTTGAATTACAGAAACAAGCTGCCAAGTGTAATTTCGGTGATCAACTTCATGTGCAACTGAGAGATCGATTAATTGCAGGAATTAACATACCGAGTTTGGAAAAAGAGCTGTTAAGAATGCCAAACTGTTCCTTTCAAGATGCCAGAACTGCATGTATTAACTACGAAGCAGTCAATGAACTTGATATCCAGTCGATGAACATTTCTAATACTTTGCTTAGTCGTCGTGATGAACTACAATCTCAAGGTCAATCAAACTTGCGTTCATTTAACAGTGATTCCTATTCTCGTGTAAATATGAAAGGTGTTTCAACGAGGAATTACAAAGCAAATCACAAAGGTGAGATGAAGTTTGGTAAATGTTTATCATGTGGAAAGTTTCATGCTCGCAATTCATGTGTATTTCGTAATGCTAAATGTTTTAAATGTGGTAAGGTAGGACACATTCAGTCAGTATGCAATGCTACTTTCCATTTTGCTTCAAGCTGTACTAAATCTTGTAATTTAAATTTAAATAATTCGGATGTTTCTAATGATCATTTATCTTTATCAACGATTTCAAAAGACAGTGCAGAGTCATATGACAGTTCAGAGTTAGATGAAATCCAGAATTCTTGTGAGACAACAGTTCATAATCAACCGATTTATCAGAATTCTCATGCTATTGTACCAAGTATGACTTTTCCTAATGATTCACATATTTCTAATGAAATTACTTGCAATATTGAGGAAAATATGTTAAATGAACCTAATCATGATCGGAAACCTGATGTGGTTTGGATAGATGCTGGTTTTTCTAACGATCCTACGCTCTGCAATGACAGTCCTAATGAATTTCATGAGAATATTTCAGAAGAATCGAATCCTGATGTCATATCATATATTACCTCTCCTCATAATGCATTCGATCCTTGTGAAAAACCTGCTCAATGCGAAGCACGAGTACTAAGTGTTCTCGAGTTTGCTTACATTTCGGATGATTTCATATCAACTGCTGTTTACCCTTATCACAAAAACAGTTCTAATGTTTACTCTAAACAATGTGAGAAATATGTTTTAAATGAAGCCACATTATTCATAACCTGGGGATATAAAAATCCAACATTATTTCGTGGGGGAGGATAGTGTTGAAAAATCTATGGTTCGAATTCTAGATATTAATGATTTCATTACAAAACCGACATGCTGGTTGTATACAATTCCAGGTGAGTCTGTTCCGATTTCGTTTGTTAATTCCAATACTAATGAGCACTTTCTAGGTACTACAAAGTTTTTATCTTACACAATGTCGGACAGACTCAGGATGAACTTAACAAGAAGACGTACAACCGATTACAAACACTTATACTTCTATTTAAGCTGTGGCGGATGTGGTGTTTGAATTAACTAATGATTCTTTTGTACTTGTTGAATGTTTGATTTCGAATTCTAAATACAGTACATTCGTTGTGCCTGTGTCTTCTTAATTCAATTGCGTTAATCCTGGAATTCCTAATTCATACGAGAATTCGAATACTATACTCATCTAGATCAACAGAGTGATCAGCCGTACGTGGAGTGGTGTCATGCTTATTGTTCGTGTGTTTTAAACTATTTGCTGTGTTGCAAACTGTCTCTGGCTGATTATTAACTGTAACACTCCCATTCAATTCTATCGCTTCACGTCTTCTTACACGACGTTGACAGGGCGTACGGTCTGGAGTGACTTTTATATTCTTGTATGGAATTAGTGAGCTAATATTTTTGCTCGAATCAATAAACTGCTTAGCATCGTTACAACAGCCAAACATAAACAAGAGGGGGCAAGTTGATCTGTCTGACTTTTTTCTAAGGCGGATGACTTTGCAGTTAACGTCCGGCATACCGCATGCTCTAAGGCAAATATCCCTTAACTTAGGTAGGTGTATGCGGTCGGGAAGGTTATACACAACTGCATTGGAGAAGGACATCACTCTTTTCGTCACTTCTTCAGCCACAAACTCCAAAATGCACTCAGCTTTAGTGGGTTGCTCAAGATTCCTGTCAGTGTCAAGGCCCCATATATGAGTGAGGGGTGCTAGTTGCTCAAGTTTGCCGTTAATTTCGGATAGAGAGTTTTGTAGCTGTCGGATGTCATTACTATATCTATCAGTATTTTGGTGTGTATGAGGTGGACCATTGGACTCTTTAGTTTTTGAAATTTTAGATTTAGACCTTGGTAGAACATACTGTCTAGTAGACTGTGCTAACTTTTCGATGCACGTCGATATAGTGTCTTGTATGTCAACCAGTCTTACCGTTGGCATACTGCACGTAAAGATAGAGGGGCTGGGACATGGAGAATCTGGTGATGATAGAGACATTTGTGTATAATACACATAATTTTTAGTAGTTAAAGGTTCGACGTTGTCAAGCACTGAGTCGTCAGTTATAGGGGTTACAGATTTGGACCTTTTATTTGGCTTTGAAGTTGGTGAACTTTCTCTTTTACTGGAGTTATTGGACATGATATGAAGATGGGTGAGCACAGTGCTCATTAAATTAAATATAATATCTGAGTATTAGTTGTTATTAAGTATTAACCTGGTTAATACTAGGATTACAGACTGCGAGTATATTGTAAAATAAATTGTAAATCTATTTAAGACTTAAGTCCGCAATAGGTACAATACGAACTGGTAATTGTAAGTCGAATAAAAATGTTTTTTCCTTATTTTTCGGGGTAATATGTACCCGATGTACATGATAGGATGATAATCACAGTATAACACACCCTACTGTAGTGGCTGTGCTTCGATAATTAATCACCCTCGAACCGTTATCGTATAATCTTCAACGATGTTTGAAATCAGAAGGCAAAAAGAAGCAGCTACTACAGTTTATTTAGTAGATAATTCGGACCAGACAGCAGAGAGGCAAAATGAATGAGCAAGCGAACTACGATTGTAGCAGTGGCAAGTAGTTGTAGTAAATGGGTGCAAATGTACACATATATATATGTATAGGAAAATGGATGAGTCAGCGAATAGATTAAGCAGTTAATAATGAAGCTAGCCGGATGAATACATGCGTAGGCGCTAAACAATGTTCAAGCATATGTATTTCATACAAGCATAATAATAAAGATAGTACAACAAGTTGTTATACCATGGATGACTTTGTCCATTAAATAGGTCAACAAAAGGCCTTGACTGAACTAAACTCAATTGCACGTGAGTCGCTATAATAGCTCCCCCCTGCAAACAAAGATATATGGAAAAATGTCTGTGTTTGCACAAAAAATAGTAAACTGAGTAGGGTAGTTACAATCGTTTGAAAAAAATGGTTTGTACAAAATTAAGATGAAGTTAGTGTGTGCTGTACATTTGGTTTGTGCCCGTCCGTGAGGTTATAAAAAATAATAGCAATAAATAGAAGGAATGTGGTATTGCTTTACATTTTAAACAAAAATTATACGTGTAAGTGTAGGGGTACATAAGAGTTTTATAGCGTATAACATGAAATTAGTAATGCATGTGTATACAATGAAGTGGAAGTTATAATTAATATTCAAAATAGTAGAAAATTATTAATAGAAGATTGCAGCGACATAACGTTGGGGCCATCTTACTCTTCGACCAGACTTTGTGGTTACTGGATTCTCTTTGTTTGTGTTCGTCGATGTCGTTGATGATTGGAACTGACGCTTCGATGATTCAACGGTTTTCGCAGTATCTGTATGTACTGGCTGATCGTAGGCTTCGATGAAAGCTGGTTTGACTCGATCGATGCTAATTACATCCGTTTTTCCAGCTTTGTCTACCGTAATAGTTTTGTCGTCTCTTTTAATCACCTTAAATGGACCATCGTAGGCCGGTTGTAAGGGAGGTTGCACATTATCCCTTCTTATAAACACATGGGTACTGTCACTTAGTTGTTTGGGTATGTAGACACGGCGTTGATGTTGCCTTGGAAGCGTTATCCTTAGACTACTCATATGCTGCTTAAGACGCTGTACATAGTCCGCTATATCAGTTGGGACGCTTTTACCTGCGGTGAAAAACTCTCCTGGCAGACGTAGTGTGGTTCCATAAACCAATTCTGCTGGGCAGCATTCTATATCTTGTTTGATTGTTGATCTTAAGCTCAACATGACTAACGGTAGCTTGCTGGCCCAATCATTATTGCTGATGACAGCTGTAAGAGAAGCTTTAAGTTGCCGATGCAATCTCTCTACCATACCATTCGACATCGGATGGTAGGATGTTGTGCGAATTCGTTTGATTCCGAGTAGTTCTGTGAGTTGTTGGAAGAGGCGGCTCTCGAATTGAGCTCCTCTATCGGTTGTAATATTAGTAGGTACACCATAATGGGAAATCCAATGCTCTACTAGGGTTTTTGCGATAGTTTCGGCTGTAATATCTTTTATAGGCACAGCTACAGGCCATCGTGTGAATCTATCAATGCAAGTGAAAATGTAACTGAAGCCATTCGAAACCGGCAGTGGTCCTATAATATCGATATGTACATGCTCGAATCTGTTATCGGGATGACGGAAATGACCTACTGCGAAGCTGGTGTGGCGATGTATCTTAACTCTCTGACATTTTATACACGCTTGCGTCCAATTACGAATATCCCGATTCATACTTGGCCATACAAAACGTTCGCTGATTAGTTTGATGGTGGCCTTTATTCCGGGATGCGAAATATTGTGCATGGCTTCGAAAATGTTTCGCCTTAGCGGCTTTGGAATAAATGGTCTTGGTTGACCTGTAGAAATATCGCAGGTGATGCTTACTTCTTCCAATGGAGTTTCTTTGAGAACTAACGAGGTTGTATTGGCAGACTTTAGTCTGTTTAACTCGACGTCGATATTTTGTAGTGCTGCTAACTTGTGATAATCGATTTCAGACTGGATGAGAGCGTTGACCATCGTTCTGGATAACGCGTCTGCCACTTCGTTACTATTACCTTTGATATACTGTATGTTGGACGTGAATTGGGAAATAAATTCTAATTGCCGGATTTCCCTCGGCGAGTAGTTGTTTTGTTTGGAGTTCAATGCTTTTGTGAGGGGTTTATGGTCTGTATATACTGTGAAAATGGTACCCTCAATCATATGTCGGAAATGTTTTATTGCCAAGTAAATCGCTAGGAGTTCTCTTCCGAAAGTACTATATCTTGTTTGTGTCGGATTCAGTCTTTTCGAAAAAAATGAGAGCGGTTCCCATATGCCATTTACTAATTGTTGTAAAACGGCTCCTACCGCTACGTCTGATGCATCCGTCATGATAGCTAACGGTGTTTCGCTCTTTCGTCTAGTTAGTGTCACTTCTTTATTTAGTGCTTTTTTAGCGTTCTCGAATGCTTGAATCGCGTCTGGTGATAATTGGAATGTCCGTGCGTTTCCGCGTAATGCATCTGTTAGTGGTTGCAATATTGACGCGCAATTCGGGATAAATCGTCTGTAATAATTTATTAACCCGAGAAATCGGCGTAACTTTTTCCATGAGTCGGGTAGGGGATAATTTTTGATGGCGTCGACTTCTGTTGCTATTGGTGTGATGCCTTGAGAAGTTATATTGTGACCTAGGAACTGTAAAGATTCCTTTCCGAATTCACACTTCTCAATATTTATAGAAATACCATGTTCTCTGAGTCGTATAAATAATTGCCGTAGTTGTTGTATATGCTCATCTTTAGTGGTGCTAGCTACTAATAAATCGTCGATATACGCGTATACCCCAGGTAAACCTCTAATGACCTGATCGATAAACCGTTGAAAGGTTTGTGCCGCGTTAGTCAGTCCAAAAGGCATACGCAGGAATTCATATAGCCCAAATGGGGTTGTTACTGCTGTCTTCGGTATGTCTTGTGGGGCAACAGGGATGTGGTAGTATGCTCTGACTAAGTCGATCTTCGAGAAGATATTAGTGCCCTCTATACTGTAGGTGAAATCATGGATGTGCGGTATAGGGTATCTGTCAGCTACTGTTTGTTTGTTCAGTGCTCTGTAATCTCCACATGGCCTAACCTCTCCATTCTTTTTCGGGGCCATATGTAGCGGGGATGCCCACGGGCTGCTCGATGGCCTTATAATGCCTAGCCTCATTAGCTTGTCGAATTCCTGTTTTGCGATGGCTAGTCTTTTGGGATCTAACCTTCTTGGTCTTGCATTGATTGGTGGACCATTCGTTACGATGTGATGCTGAATAGAATGTTTGAGATCCGCTTTATTGTATGTTACTTTTACGAGTTCAGGAAACTCCCTTAACAACAATTTATATGGATCACCACGACTTTTATCTATCACAAGGTTCATTGAAACGGCTTCCGTAAGTATTCCTCTTATCGAAGTGGTTTGACTGCCGTTTATAAGTCTGTGTCGTCTAGAGTCTACTAGCAGGTCAAAGTTACATAAGAAATCTATGCCTATTATGGGCATTGATACGTCTGCTATGACAAAGTTCCAGCGGTATGAAGCGCCACGTCCAAAATCTAGGGACAATTGCCGTTTGCCATATGTTTTAATGTCTGAT